TTTCAGGTGCCTAAAGTTAGGTTCCTCAGTCCATACTGAGGGACCTAATTCAGTGTTCTGTCCATTCCTCCCATTGACTTCAGTGGGAACTGCGGGGTGCATGGCACTTTTGAAAACAAGGCCACTCTTTTAGGTGCCGGCATATGAATTTCAGAGCCAAAAACTTGGTTTGAAAATTTTGGCTGTGCATTGCTTTCTTTCTTTTCTTTTTTTCCCAAAGGCCCCAGATATTTAGACATAAACACAGAAATTGTATAGTGAAAGAGAATACCAAGTTCACTACATTTTTTATAGAAACATTATCTTTTATTAATGCAACACTTGATTTGCATTAGTAGTGGAAACCAAAATTGCTAGTCACAGAAAGTGAATCTAGTCTGCAAACATACTGATCATTGCTATGAGTGTCTCCTCTTCAACAGTCAGCCTCAGGAAAACAATGCTAGAACACAACATCCATCAACAAATAACACAGTTAACAATTATCTCTGGGGACTCTTCAATAATTAAAAAGAGTATCTAATGGTGCATGGAATCACTTCCACTGTGTGAAACAAACAATGCTTTACAGAACAGCTAAACTGAAGGTTTATAGATGGTTAATCTTCCCTGGATGCAGGCATAAATAATTTTTAATAATAAGAACAATATAAGGAACAGTCACTGCTTATAAGGAACTATCTTAGCTCTTCTGTAAGGTGCTGAGTGTCTGGCTCACAGTAAGCTGTCCTTTGAAGAATCAAACCCATGGCACTTTACAAATACTACTTCATTCATCTTCACAATGCCTCTGGAGGGTATGTCTATGGGTAAGTGTTATTAAACCTACAGATGCTAAAAGACCCAAAAACCCTCCAAAAGACCCAATGTGACAGCAGCAGACCTGGGACTACAACCCTGGTCTCCCGAAAACTAGCTTTGAGCTCATCACTAGACTATGCTGCCTTTCTGTGTTAATTAGGTGTGATTGTGAGTTGCATGTGTGCATCCAGAGGAGAATGATATTCTCTGTAGTGTTTCTTTACATGTAAACAGCTGAAAAAGGTGAAAAAATAGGATTCCGGATTTCTAAGGTACCCTGGTAATGGTTTACAAAGAAATAATGGAAAGGCTTATTTAGGATAACTATCCCTCCATACCAAATATACTAATCACCAATAACCCTTTATAAAACATAGCTGGAAGGTCTGGCATCCAATAAAATGGCTCTTGCAAAGGTATCTTTGACTTTTTGTACATGCTGGATAAACAGAGGGTTGGGTGGAGGAATGCTCCAATGAGATGTATCAAACTGCAATGCACCAGTTTCACAAAACGTAAACAAAACACTATCTAATACTGTATCATGCATCCTGCTTGAATGGCATTTCCGCTTTTAATTCTGTAGTCATTTTTGCTCTTGACTTTCAAATGTACTTGGGGATGCCATAAACCTGCTCCCATTGAAACCAGCTGCAAACTCTCATTGACTTCAATGGGAACAGTGCAGGCTCCCCGCTGGAGGGTGGGGAGGCAGGGGACAAAGAGGGCAGTTGCCCCAGGGCACAGCGATTCAAAGAGGGCCCTTTAAATTGTTGCTGGAGTGCCGCATGCTGTGGCCAGCACTAAGGGTTGCATGAGGGCAAAGGGCGTGCTGTACTCCGGGGGACTGGCTGCTTGCAGCTCTGCCCCTTGGCTTTGCCCCTGCCCTCCCATTCCAGGAGTGCAGAGCTGGACCCCCACACACACCTTGCCCAGGGGCCCACAGATGCTGTTGGCTCCACTGGAGCAGTGTTAGATCACTGCTGAGCCCTTGGAACATCCTGCTCCTAATACTAAACGTACAATATTCCTTACATGTGATTTAATATCAGAGAAGTTCCAGGAAGAATTAGACGTCCCAGGGACTAACACGCCTGTATGTAGAAGATACAACCAAATATGATTTTATGGCATTTTTCCCCACTAATGCTCACCACCAGCGCATATGTTTTAAAACCCAATGGAAGTCATTATACATGACATTTAATAGATTTCCAACTGCACACTGAAAATTAGAAGGTGCAGTTACACAGGACAGCTGTACAGATATGAAAGGAGGGTTAAATGTAACAGCAGGAGCATGGGAAACATTTATTAAAAGAACCACTTTTTTTGTATATTAGCCAGCTAAGACCAATTCCCTGTGGTCCAGTGGAGATTTAAGAATCAGATGTTCCTTGGGGGAAAGTTATTCAGGGCAGGTTAGAGAATGAAACTCAAAAATGAGGGTGATGGGGAAGGGGTATCTGCACCTGGAATCAAATATGGAAAAAGGAGTTTCTCCCCTCCCATAGAACAGTGTTTGGGATAAAGGTAAAGCAAAGCTCCAAACCCCACATCCACAAGGATTTTTCAAATTGTGTTATTTTCTTCCCCGCCAATTAGAGGGCTAGATAATTTCTTCTCATAAGATGAAAAGAAGATGTTACTGCAGAGCAAATTTCTTAAAATGAATGGCCGAGTCTCACGTCACTGGGAACATACATGCAGGTCATGGTGGGTTGGGAACTTCTTTACATAGAAGAGCCCTTATCCTCAGCCAGGCCACAAGGCAATGCCTGAATTTGGATGATGATGATTTGGTTGGTTTTGGCTTGCCTAGGACAGTAGCCTGTCAGCTGAACAAGTCAGCCTGGTGCAGCATCAGTATCTCCAGCCTCTTCTAACTGCTACAAATCTCAAGTATCAGAGAGGTAGCCATGTTAGTCTGGATCTGCAAAAGCAGTGAGGAGTCCTGTGGCACTTTATAGACTAACCGAAGTGTTGGAGCATGAGCTTTCGTGGACAAAGACCCACTTCGTCACATGCATGTAGTGGAAATTTCCGGAGGCAGGTATAAATATGCAGGCCAGAAGCAGGCTAGAGATAATGAGGTGAATGCAATCAAGGAGGATGAGGCCCACTTCTAGTAGCTGATCTGGAGGTGTGATCAGCTACTGGAGGCGTGATCACCTCCAGATCAGCTATTAGAAGTGGGCCTCATCCTGATTGGATTCACCTCGTTATCTCTAGCCTGATTCTGGCCTGCATATTTATACCTGCCTCCGGAAATTTCTACTACATGCATCTGACGAAGCGGGTCTTTGCCCACGAAAGCTTATGCTCCAACACTTCAGTTAGTCTATAAGGTGCCACAGGACTCCTCGTCGCTGCTACAAATCTGTAGACCATCGCACAGTGAGGCTCTGCTACAGGACTAGGGCTCCTCAGTGCTACAGTAATACAGAGAATAAACAACAATAGAAATAAGGAACTGGGACAGCCCAACATGTGAACAGTCGACAGGCTAATGCAGGAGTGGTCAGCCAGCCTAGAAAAGTCTCTCTCAATTTTTCACTGGCCTTATTGGATGGAAGTATATACGTGAGGGGACACTTCCTCACTGAGGGAAAAAAAATGTACCTTTCTGATATTTTACGCTACCGGTATTTTTTTTAAATGTTGATGCTGCTTTTCTTTATGTTCCAAACATGCCTTAACACAGAAGGTCTGTAGGTTTCCTACATTTTTAATGAAATTATAAATACACTTCCAACATCTGCTTTTTCAGTGCGCCACCCAACAGATATCTGAGAGACACTGACAGAGGAAAAAGGAGAACGCACTATTGTACCCTCCACTAACCAGTGTAAAATATAATTAAATACCTGCTAGGGCATTTTATTGATACCACACAATGGGATTTCAAACAATATTGGGACAGATCAAAGTGCTGTACAAAAACATGTCACAAAGCACTTAGCTTATTGATTGCAAACTAATGATTAAATAGGTCTCACTTACCATTTTGGCTTAGATTCTCAAAACAGTTTTGGAGGAGAAAGGCATTATGAATAACTGCTAAAAAAATCCATTCACACTCTGTTAAATAGCCAAGTTTACTCTACACAAAAGACAAGATTAGATCCAGGGCCATCTTTTCAAACATGCCTAAATTCCACTTTCAAAAGGAATTTAGGAGCTCACATCACTCAGGTCCTTTTGCAAAGTTTACCCCAAGTAATTCTAATACATGAATCAAGGTATTTTACTCTCACTGATATAGTGGTTCTGAGCTTTTATGGCTTTCAGATTAAAACAACACTGGGAATATTAAACACTAGTTAATAAAGCAGGATCTCAAGCCATTTTAAAATCTGTTTTAAAACTTATTTAGCAGCTGGGAAGAAAAGTTTCTTCACTCACTAGCATTTTAGTTTTTCCCAGCCCTGCACTACAAATAATTATAATTAGCATGGTGGTTTTTAGACAGCGCCAAATGCCGGGTAATGTTCGGTATTAGATCAACTTGCATAGTTTATTCACCAACTTCACATGTGACCGGGAAGAAAAGAGTATTAGGATGTCCTGATGAGTGGAGCCCTTTCTTCTTCAGAACTCTGAAACACAAAATGGAATAGCAGAGAAGTGAACCATAGACAATGTGGAGCTGGAGGACAGCAAATAGAACACTGAGTTTCAAAGCAGCAAAGAAGCGTTTTTATCCTGGTTTTTATCAGCCCCCTAAGTCCAAATTCCATCCCTAGTGCAATACTAACAACTAATAAGCTATAAAAGCACCACAGGGTGGACTGTGAGTGGCCTTTGCATAAATATTCAGGGGGGACGATGCAAGAAGCCACCCAAATTTTGTTCACCGTCTACCAGGACCAGTACAACCACACTGTAAGCACTACTGTAAGCACACAGATTGTTCCCCATAGGGCTCCCAGTGGGATAGCTGCCCCAAGGGGCTAGAGAGGAGAAAGGAGCATGCCTCCTTCTTCTCTGCAGAGGCTATTATTGCTGGCCAGCCATGGCACACCCTGTCTCCTTTCCCTGGAGATGTTTAGAGGGATGACTCAGAGAGCAGTGTTAGGGCAGGGCTTATTTAACACCCTCTATGATGAGCCGGGAACAACATATGGACGAGATTACACTGGAAGGAATTATCTCTGCCAATGAAGACAGGGATAGTAAAAATGGAGCTACGGAGGGGCAGGGTCAAAGGCAGGGCATTTTGGGGAAAAAAGCAGGATAATGCATCTCGGGAAAAAGAATCTGATGCACACACATTCAATGGGAGGGGGAATCCAGGAAGTAGTAATGCTGGAGACTTTTAGGCGACAGAAGGCAGAGAAATAAGGATATGATATTAAAGCCCATCTTGGACTGCCTCTGCAAAAATATTGAGTCACACAGCAGGGAGCGAGGGTTCCTCTGTATATGGCTGGAACCACCCCTGGAAGGGGAATACTTACTTCTGGGCACCTGGGAAGTTAATGAGCTACCAGAGGGAGTTGTGATAGGAACAGCCAAAGATGATGCAGGGCGGAAGAGACAGATTTAGAGGAAAGATTTAAGAGCTGAATATGTTGAGTTTGGCTAAATGACAACTGAGGAGAGGGGTCCGGGGCATGCTAATAGTCTACAAATAGCTTAAGGCCATAAACATGAGGGAGAGAAAAGAACTGGTGCAATACAAGGGGGTATAACTAGGGCTGTATTATACTCCGAGCCAGTCTCTGTTTGCAGGAAAAAACACAGTCACCGTGAGAAATGTGGAAGTCCAACTTTCCTCTTTTTTAAACTTCCCTGGTACCAAGGAAAGCCTGAGAAACGTGGCTGGGATTGATCTCTCTGGGTTTGGGCTCAGAGGGTAGGTAGGACTGGGGAGTTGGCTGGCGCCCATGGGCCCGTTGCTAGTCTCTCAGGCTGAGCCTGCCACCCAGACAGGGAAGGGAAAAAGAAACCCAGATGCTCAGGAGAAACAGGATCTGCCTCTCCCATAAAGGAACCCAGGGCCAGACTCATTAAAACATCCCTTGCCCAAAAGCTTCCCAGGTGAGGGTGCAAGAATGAAGCAAAAGTTTCCAAGTGAGAATAGTCAACATTTGAGGAAAGTAGGTCAGGCTGCAGAAAGATCACACAGGTGTCTCTCTTGAGCTCTTGCCACAACACTACCAGCACAAGACTAACGATAAGCATGACCAGGTTCTCACCACTGAGAAATAGCACACACATGGTTGGGGTGAGAATTCAGGATGCAGATTTGCATGTGCTTTTTCGTGCGGTTGTGGGAACCTGCTTAGAAAACAAAATATACAAAAAGCAGGACCGTCCTAGAGCAACAGCAGCTAGAAGTCGAAAAAGCCTACTAGGGTACCTCCATCACTTTCTCTCATCACTAAGGTGTCCGTATAAACAGGACCAGTGAAGTAGGGTGAAGTCACTGCTCACAATCTTTGACAGCAATGACAATCTTAATGCCAATTTTTAAATGGAACAGATCAGAAGATACATACAGAACACTATTTTCTGTATGAGACTGTATTGTACAATTGATTGGTGAGATTTTTTAAGTCATAATGTGCATTTATAGCAGAAGTTTGTGAAGTAATTTGGAAGAGGTGATCCATTCAGAAGCAATGATCCATTCTATGTCAGGTATATTGACATGTGGAAATGCTCAAGTTGTAAGACCATAATTACCATTACATGATGAGCTATTGTAAGGTTTTAAGTGAAGACTGCGCATCATTAAGTGATTTTCAGTTCTCTGATGGGGACAGAATGGCCCAAGTTGTAAATCTGGGCTAAGAACCTGAATTCATCTTCAGTGTCTGGGTGTTCAGAATTGGATTGTTGGTTTAGACACAAATCTGGCCTTAGTTGGCTTGAGAGGAACACTGGGCCTAAAACCAGCACAAAATATTACTAGAGAACCTGAAAATTAACTTCATAATTTTTCTTCAAAAGGCACCTGTCAAGTTGAACAGGGCTCAAAATGTCAATCAAATATGGTGGGTTTTTTGGCTCGTACCCCTTCAGAGTTTACTAGACAGGCTTCTTTTTACAACTAGTGTTTTCAGCAAGTTACGGAATTAGGAACAAAGCAAAATATTTATATTCACCCACCTTACCATGCATCTTAAACTGGCTGCATAGCTTTGTCTGCGTGCACTTATTCTGGGTCTATTAACACTTCTCTAGCCTGGAAAGAGCATTTTCAACAAAAACAAAAAAGCAAAAATGTTGTGGGAACTCAAAAGCTCAAATCATTGCAGGCAAATGAAACACAGATAAGAAAGGTCTACTTCAGATGCTACTAACCTCTTCCCTTGATCCAGGGGGCCTGCATACAAGCACAATGAAAACAATCCCCAAAATAATTCCCAATGCCATGATTATGAAGGGGATGCTGGATACAACCGTGGCTTCAAACAGAACACTCTTCAGTTTTTTGGCAGATGCTTCATCAATCAGAGTACTCTGGAGGAGCAGACGGCAACGAGAAAGAGGGAAAAACAATACATTTCAGTTTTCCTTATGCTGCTCTCTCTTACTCGGAGTAAGCATAAGACCATCCTTATGGTTTATGGTGCCCTATTTAGAGGCAGGATGGAGGAGGGGGGAATGGAGGAGCGGCTGCTCGATGGGGTGGGGCTGCAGTCAGGACTGGGGGGGCAGTGGCAGGCATCAGCATGGGACAGGACTGCGGGGGCAGAGACATAGGCATGGGACCCCAAGGGGTGTTATAGCACCCCCACATTTTACATGGGTTCCCAGCTGCCACTAGAGTTGCCAGATGGTTTAACAAAAAATACCGACACCCGCCCCACCCCCAAAAAGGAAAAAATTCTGTTGAGAAAAAAAAAAAAAACCACAACCAGCAAAAATTCCCAGCCCACTCCCCCTCCCCACCGCCCCAATCTGTACTGCGTGTCCCTAAGCACATGCAGCTGCCTACGGCACCACTCAATTTGCGGCAGTTGCACATTCTGCATAGGCCTAAGGGCAACCCTGGAAACAGCAACATCCCCTCCGCCATGATGGCTGTTGCATGTGCCTTGCCTCAGCCTGCTAGCTCTAGTGCAGCACCTCGCGGGATCAACTGGTCTGCATTTGCAGAAATGACTAGAGATTTTTGTGGGGACAGCTGTGGAACACTTTCAAAGGGTGGGATTTTTAGTTGCACATTCTGCATAGGCCTAAGGGCAACCCTGGAAACAGCAACATCCCCTCCGCCATGATGGCTGTTGCATGTGCCTTGCCTCAGCCTGCTAGCTCTAGTGCAGCACCTCGCGGGATCAACTGGTCTGCATTTGCAGAAATGACTAGAGATTTTTGTGGGGACAGCTGTGGAACACTTTCAAAGGGTGGGATTTTTAAAGGGCAGATGCTTTCTCTCCAGCACCCCACTGAGGAACTGGT